TGGTTAGGTCTTTAAGTCAGATGTTATTGTTCCTCTTTCCTGATTAGACAACTGAAACTGTTTTAAAAAAAGAACTGAATGCATTCACAAACACATCCACAAATACATGCTGGCTGTCCTCATCCCCACGAATCATTCATATTATGATCCCAGGAGTCACAGCAAATTTCACCAGTAACTTTTTTTTGGTGAAAATACTTGAAAACCATTTTTATTTTATTATTCAACAGCTCTAGTCCCATAAAGAGAACAGTAATATCTCTCGACTGTTTCATCCTGTCCATGTTAAATACTGAATTTTCAATTGCTTATGACTCTGTAGGCTCAGGGTTATTCTCAGACTGTGATGGAGACATGTCTTCACTACCAGCCACCTGGAAGGTTTCAACTTGTCAAGTTCAGCCATTTTTTAATTATGCATGAGCAAAGAATTCAATAACCTTTCACAGCAGAAAATGTGTATGTGTCTCCCTTCTCACATAACCCTTTCCAAACAAATTCCTCTTTGGGGCTGAGACCAATACAAAAATGTCATCAATGAGCCAATATTTTTCAGAAAATTTTGAGTGGGTGACAATAGGGGGTTTATGACGGATGTTTCAATATAGCAACTAGCTATTAACTAATACATACATATATGCGCACATGTCACCCCCGGCGTAAAGCATGTTGAAATGTTTTGGACAACTTTCACTGAGATTATTATAGACTGAGAAATTTGCCTGCCTGAATGAGAAAAACTCTTGGCACTTACACTGTGAAGCTAATTGGTACAATCTAAGCATTGAATGATTCCTAATTTTGCTAGTTAGAGTGACACCTGATGCCTCTATCTTTCAATACCCAACGATTTAGGGGAAAGAGAATATCTAAAGTAACATCTGCTGCAATGCACACATTTCAGAGAAATAGAAGTTTAAAACTGCCCATACATCGGACACTTTCTAACCTAGTGGTAGATACATCAAGTCCATCCACTAAGGATTTGTTAATGGTTGTTTTGTTAATGTTATTCTTTGATTGCCACTGGAACTCTAGTGCCACACTTGTGCCACATGTGACAAGGAGATTTGAGGTTCTTGGCTGTTGTTACAAAGCTTTTTTTGCAAGAGGACTATGACATTCACCAGTGCCAGTTCTAGGGCCCCATTACTAAGGGAAGGGAGAGTGGGTTTCTAGGGGGCCCTGGATGTTGCTATTTAAAAAACAAACTTCCAGAGTCCAGGGGCTAGTTAGTCCCCTGGAACATCTTGGATTTTAAGAGAGTTTAAACAAGTAATATTTAGCTATTGTGTCAGTATTTTGTCATTGTCACTTCACTCCTTAACACTGGACAATTTTGTATCTATTTTGGCCTTTCGGACAATAATTTGGGGCCCCGTGAAGATTGTTGGGGGCCAAAGAATTAAAATATCCAAAGGTATCATCAACCAGCTTATTTATCTTTGTAAAGGAGACATTTGTTTCATGTCATTGGAGCATTTTGTGTGCATGTTAATGTGTGATGGTTAAGTCAGCACAGATCACGAATGAATGAAAAAGAAATAATGTGACCTGTCTCATGGAAGCATGACACTGGTTTCTCAGTAGGAATCGATGACAGATGGTGCTTTGTGACTCTCTCCGAAAACAGTGTGTGATTTTGAAGAATGCTCAGCATTGGGCTAAACCTGCTTCCATTGGAATAAACAAGGGTTTTCCCAATAACTTCACTGGGAGCAAAGGCCCCCCTATGGAAATACCATGTAATATTGGAGTGATTTGAAATGTAGGCAGCCAAACCCAATGCCAGGCAAAACTGGTCTGGCTGGACTTCCATTATAAACTCATAACAGGTGAGAGTCCTTGGAAGGTTCCCTGAGGGTCTCAGTCCTTTTGGGTGGACCTGGGAAAATTTATCATTTGCCAGCAAAAATCTCATGAAGTGTGCAGCTCGGCCTGGTTTCAACATGAAACTGAGGGATTTGGATGGAGTTTTGCTTTGGGTCTTTGAGTTAATTTGAAACCAAAATGAAGAGTGAAAGCTGGAGGGTGGAAGCCCATAAACACCCGAGGGGGAAGACAATGTTGCAAGGACCTTTGTGTGCTAGCCCAGCATGGCTCTTTGTCCCCTCCTAGCGGCTACACAGCACCTGGTTCTATAGTTCAAGCTATCGAGTCTTCTGCGTTTAGATCCAGAGGTGTCGGGTTCAATCCCTGCAAGGTTTACGCAACCCTATGTATACAGAAATAGTGATGCTGTAAAAACTTTCCCACTTTCACTTCTGTGGATGAGTCCTAAGGAGGGAGAGATGGTCTAAATCCTTCTGGTTAGCTAAATAAATCCGCAGCTATGGAACACAACAGTGCAAGTAGTCTACAATATGGTTTCCCCTCCTCAGTTGTCTGTGTAGCGTATTGTGCTGTAAGGAAGGATTTTTGGTTTGCTCTCTATCTATCTGAAGGGTTTAAAAGCTATGCTATTAAAGCAGGGCCCAGGTGACTTAACTGGGTCATGTGGCTTTGCTCTGAAAAGGCTTAGGACAAAGTATTAGCCTCCTTAGCAAATTTCCCAGCAAACTTGAAAAAGGAAGGAAGAGATATTCAGACTAAAATTCCAGCTCAATCTGAATGTAGCTCAGAGGAGAGACACTCTTGCTGGCTGCCCCTTCCCGTAACAGAGAGGGTGCCTGCAAAAAGGGCAGCACTTGCTGATGCCGACACGATAGGCCTGATCTTGTTCCAAAATGAGATGCCTGGGGGTTTTGCTATTCATTCTAACAGAAGCAGGAGCGGGCCCTGAATAATTCTATCCCTTTCATATTCCTACCTACTATATTCATAAGTGGGAATCAAAGTGCTGTCAGGAGAAAGTACTGTGAGATCTCTTTTCAGAGTAGCAGCCGTGTTAGTCTGTATCCGCAAAAAGAAAAGGAGGACTTGTGGCGCCTTAGAGACTAACGCATTTATTTGAGCATAAGCTTTCGTGAGCTACAGCTCACTTCTCTGTATTTCTTTCCCAGGAACTGATCATCTCTTTAAGCCTTTTGGTCCATGTCAGATCCCAAAAACACAAGGGCTGGTCCAGATCCAAACAGATCTATAAATATGAGTTCCAGTTGCTTTGAAGACATCACATCAACATCTGTGCCAAAGAAACTACAGTGACAATTCTGATTCCTTTCTCCCCCCCTGTATGCAGCTGGTATAATAACATTGCAGAGCCCCCGTCACTGGGTTTTACTTCAGTCAGGGTAATTTCAGACATTTGGAAACCACTGAAGAGCTGCTCCCTCAGATTAACTACTCTGGGCCTGAACTTTTCATAGAGTGCCGAGCAATACTGGCTCTGATAAGTCTTTTGCAGTTATTGCCACAGGTAAATGTCCCTTTGCCAAGCACTTAGCTGAATTAGATATTTCTTCCGCAGCATTTGGCACAAGAGGGCATTTACTGATCCAAGATACTGCTCATTCTAAGAAGGCAGCCATACTTAGTGAGAACTTTGGTGCATCCTGGTGTGCTGTGTATCAACTGTCTTCACACCATATTTCCCTTGCTCTTGGTTTGTAGAGATGACTGCGGGGGGATGAATGCAGCTAAGAGAGAGAGCTTGGCTTATTTGTACCTAGCATACACCTCAGAGTATGAAAATTTAAATATGGGGAAAATTAGCATGAAAATGAGAGTAGGTCACCCTGAGGCTTGGCTCTGTTGGGCCAGACCTTCCATTGGTGTAAGTTGGCACAGACAGCTCCGTTGATTGTTCTTACTTCTGTTGTCCATTCTTCCTATCCATTCTGTTCTGACATACAGATCTGTATGGATATGGTCTCCCTGCCTCTCTTCTTGCCATTGCCCAGGCAATGGATACTTTGTGATGACTGTCTGTGGATGCAGAAATGTACATCCTATGACTGCGAGTCACAGTAATGAGAGAAAATGGGGCTGCCCAGACCTGCCCGGAGCAGCAGCAGCATTAGCGAGGTGAGAATCTACAGAAGCTTGAATCAAGTAGAAACAAAATGACCTAGTTTTGCTGGTAGATGCTTTCTCTGGCTTTCTGTTCAGAATTTCAAAACAACAATAATTAATAATGGTGGTGTACAGCTCTGCTCTTTAAACCAGTTTTGTGGTGAATTTGTGCGCTTCAGTTTTTCCCGGTGCCTATACCAATAGCATAGTATTAAACTAACCAGCCTGCTCATCTAAAACAAATAATACTCAAAGTTTGTTCCTATAATTTTCAAAGTCTTGATTTATTGTTCTAGTCAAGAATTAATTATAGCCCTGAGGTCTTGCAAATGAAAAAGAAATAGAAAACCAGTATGACAATTACACATCTGGTGGAAGAACAGATGCTTCTGTTCAAGAATAGTACCCCCTCCTCAGTCCCCCAGAACTAGAGCAAATGGTCCTTCCTCTCAGCCTATCTACAGGGGCCAGGGAACTATCAGCATTTGGAACATCATTAGCATATTTTTTCCCTGTGGCTTCCAGGCAGAAAATTACATTGTCACTGCAGCTGGCATCTGTGTCCACAGTTTTTAAATGAAAATATACAGCCAGTGGTCTACGGTCTGATTCAAAGTAACCTCTGCTGACTCGTTGTGCCTTTAATAAGACCTCTTAAAAGGACAATAAAAATGGCTTTGCCCTGAGATATAGAAACAACAACAACAAAGGGATTAGAAGATTATTTTAGAAAGACAACAATAGGTTTGTTTTCTCTATTGCTAAATTCCAGAGCCACCACCTTGAACATCAAAGGAATAGGTACTGGGTAAGGAATCTCTTTAGTCCAGACAAGTTGCAGTCAACAAAGTGCAACATGAAAAGAGCCAGATGGCAGTGTCAAATCCTCCTATAAAGGTAACATATAAACCCATTAAATTATTCCCCGTCGCTTTTTCTTAGTGTCTCCCATTTAAAGCCATTTTAGAGTCATCAAAAGTGGGGCAGCTCGGAACACTGTGAAACACCATTCCTGCCTGAGCAATTAATCTCTGTCGCTCTATCAGGTTTGTCCTGCTGTTGGCAGCTCCACGAGCAAGTTTGGGTAGGAGACATAACAACACCAGCGGGAAGAGGAAGTGATAGATTCTTTGTTCTGTTTATACTTCCACTGCCACTTCACTGAAGAAGCCACAGCCTCAAGATAAACATAGCTCTTCTAGAAAGTGTAGCGGCATGGAGCAATGTGGAAAAGGTGAGTCTTTGTACAGATGCTCGTGGGCAGGTGTCCACAAGACAAAAAGGCACCATCCTAACTGGCGGAGTTGCTGGTGGTCTTTACAGAGACTAAGGATTAAAATGACCGTGAAGACTAAACACCTCTCTTCCGGCTCCACGGAGGCACTGCTGAGGCCTAGACATTAGTGGGACAGTATGGGAGACACTTGTACTGGATCTTCCTGTTCCCGTTTCCAGGATGGGTAGAGGACCTCCATTTCCCAGGAGCTTCAACCACATTGATTTAGGGGAAAATACACCCCTGTGCAGAGAGCCAAGCCCAAGTTTACAAACCACTCAAACTCATTTCAGCTCTATTTTGAGGACTTCAGTAGTACATAGGCCTTTTGCTGGCCTGCTGCACATGGGCATGCATTTCAGTCTAACAGAAGAGAAAGCAAAATTCATCAACTTAAGTACCCATTATGAATTATTCATCCCATTCTAGTCAATATTAACATTCCGAGTGTTGGCTCAATAGTAAAAAACACTACCGATGTGGCAGAAATTAGAACCCTGCTCAGCCTGCCTTTGGGGTCCAAAATATGTCAGCATGTCTTTTAACACTAATGAAGTGTCTGGGTATAAATGTGCACACATCCAGGAGGGGACTACAGGGGTACCTGGTACATCTAAGCAAAGCTAGCATATTATGCGGGTTCTTCAGGCCTTTGAATTCACATGTCATTTTTCTCAGTATAAGTATAGGTTTATATGGGAGGTTATTATAATCCTTTCAAGCTGTTAGTGCAGGGGAAAATGAGATGGAATATTATTTTTAAAATTTCATTGTAAATCAAATAGGCCATAATAACTCCCAATTAACACATTAAAATATGTTGAAGATTTGTTTCATTGTTTCACTGTAAACAAAAGAGGCAGTATTAACACCTATTGACAAAACAGACCCAGGTGTTTCCCTTTAAGAGCAAAGAAAATCTAATTTTAAAACTCACTGTAATTTTTTTATAATTACGTTTGCACCAAACAAGTCATTCGAGGTTCCATATTTTCCATTCTGGCTGCAAATATCCCCTAAATGTTCTTCCAGAAGTCACAGTCAATGGATATCACCATTACACTCCAGCACAACAGGAGTGGCATTAAAATGACAGCCCTGATTTTCCATTGTGTTATTCCAGGATTACATTGGAACAACCCTTCTGAAGTCAGTGGGATTACACAAATGCCAAACTGGAGTAATGCAGTGGAGAAGCAGGTTATAAGAATTTTCAAAGAGCTTGAAATTAGGTCTGTATTTGGTAAGACAGTCCATTATGTTGAAACTTTCAGTGGGATAGATTGTGGCTTGGACTGCATGGGTATGCAGAGGAATAAACCGGGGCTGGGGGCGGTAATAACACCGTGTGTGTGCTCCCCAGACCTTACAATTCCATATTCTGACTCTAACCAGTTAATTTTTCAACTCCAGGTTCCAGCCAGGGCCAGCAGCAAAAGGTTCCTTAAACCTCACAAAGAAAGCCTCCTGCACTATTGTAAGCTCTTTACTAGAGAGTCAGGAAAAGGTGTGGAGAATTCAACTAACATTGTGACAATCATCTGCACTTTCAAGTGCATGTCAAGATCACAACCACACATCAACAAAACTGAATCAAAATGCCAATTACCAGGTGAAGAAAAATACCAATTATCAACACGGGGAAGCTCAGCTTAATATTAATATTAATATTGTGGGTGTCTCCAAGCACAGGACAGAAAGGGGAGCATTATTCTGGCAGCTTTGCTATTCTGGCTGGATGATGGTGCTGATACAGTGAAGATGTCTCTATTTACCCTTTCGCATAATACAAAAGAAAGGGAACAGCTCAATAGCACAGAAATGCAGCAAGGTTAAAGATGATTAAAAGAAAAGACATTTTTAAAGCCATGCATAACCAGCCTGTGGAACTCCTTGCTACACCATTTCACTAAGACCAGGAGCTAAACAGGATTCAGACAGGGATTGAACCCTTATATGGATAATGAGAATATCCACAGTTGCATCAGATAACATACAATCCCTCCATATTTCATGCAGATCCCTTCATGATTCAGTGCCAAAGCCAGCCACCAACTGATGGGGATTAGCAAGTAACATCCTGTGAGGGAAGATTATTTCATTATGGGGTTTCTTGCGCCTTCCTCGGAGGTATGTGCTCCTGGCCATTGTTGTAGACACAATACAGAACTAGGTGGACTACTGGTCTGATCTGGCAATGTATTGCCACACGGGGAGCTCAGTACTCAAACAGCAGCAGAAAGACCATTAACCTGGGTCTCCAGTTAAAGCGTTAGACTCAAAGGAGATCGTTAAGTACACAGCATCTTTATTAAATACCCAGGGATAACAGGCAGCATATAGTGGGCCTAATTCTAAACTCACACCAGGGTATGTCAGGAATCCCCTCACTGATGTCAATGGAGTTACGCTGGAGTAAAAGAGGTAAGAATTGGGTTCTGTCTGCTGAGTCTATGGCAATGCACTGCCAAAGTTTGGGAGGGAAGATAGATACACAGCTCCAGGGGGCACACGTGTGTATTGAAATGTCACAAGAGTGTTGGGGGAAGACAGACTTCCACACCACTGTCCCTGCTGGGTAGTACTGTGAATGAATCACATCACTTCCACTGTCTATCAGTTCCCTCTATTGCTTATTGCAGTGTGGTGGTTCCTCCCGCTAGGTGTCTGTGGCTTTTGAGCCAAAGGTCTGTTCACCACATGGCGAGTGCTGTGTCTGATTAGCTGGTGATGGTGGAGTCTGCATCTCCATTAAAGAGATGTAACTGTTTAAAAATGCCAGCAGACACCAAAGGTTTGGGGGCATGGAAAATTCCTCCTGTTTGCCGGAGTGGCCTAGTGAGTCGAAACTAGAGGTGATGACTCAGAATATGGTATTACTGTAACTCCTTCCTAACAGCAGCGCAGTGGATTGGAGAAAAGGGCAGAAAGTAAGTACAGTGCTTCCCTGATCTTCTCCTGCAGTGCCTGGCTGGAGTGGAATCATGGGGTTCGGTGCAGGGGAGGGGGCTGGTGCCCTGTGCTCCCTCCTTTCCCCAGATCTACAGGAGCATCCACAGCCAGTGAAATCTGGCCACACAGTTCTGAGAGCCTCTCTATCTTGGAGGACGGGAGCTAGCATTTGGCTCCAAGCAGGCAGCTACGTGTGGCATTAAGAATAGCTGCTGTGAGATGTGCGTCGGATAATCTCTTGTATCAGATGCATAGTGAGACATGACGCTCCGGGCTGAGCACCTGTGGCAGCCAGCATATCCATCTTTTAAGAACCGATCAATTACATATGCATTTCTGGCAAGGTATCAAATTCTCATAAGAGCAATAAATACTTCCTCTCAGGACACTCCTTTGTGAGTCTCCACTGCCCACTGCATGCAGACATGAAGTTGTGAGGGATCATGGACTGAACACGCAGCTTATTGCCTTTATGTACAAACTCTCTGTTTTCTGCTGTGCAAGGACCTGACCAAGGCCCACTGAAATCAGTGCAAGCCTTTGGATTGACACCTAGGCTTTGGATCAGGCACAAATGAAGGAAGCTGAATACCTGTAATTTGGCAGCTGGAATTTGAGTCCAAAAGGTCTATTATAGTCACAGCTAATAAATATTAATCAACTTGTCCGCACTTTGCCCTGCTGAACGGTGAGAACAACTGGCTCAGAGATCACAAAGTTCCTGTTGATTTATGTAAGTACATAGAGAGTAAAAGAACCTGAGCCTTTCCCAAAGCCATGATTGCAATTCTCAAGGGAGGCTCATTTTCAAATGATCTTGTTAGACATTGTTAGAAACTGACATATTTGCATAGCATGAATGTTAAAACTCAGAAAGAACTCAAATGCCAATTAAAACCAGAGTTTCCCCCCTAATTAATCAGTCATAAAAGAGCAGCTCCAGGTGTTTCTAACTAAACACCAGCAAAAGTCTATCATTATTAATCTTAATGACCCAAGTATCATCAGCATATGCAGATTCCTTCAAAGTGACTGAAGACTGGAAACATTTTAAGACCTCTTCTTAAGACCAAAGCCATGTTCATTTAGGGGAACATTACTTGCATATTATGAGCATAATCTATTATTAGCATAATACCTAACAACAGCAGCAGCTTCAGCAACTCAAAGAGCCAAAACTTCTTAGATAAACTTTTGGTCAACCTAAAATTATAGTGAAGGAGATTTCCATTCCCTGCGTTCTATTCAATAGAGCTGGTTGCAAAAACGTAGACAGAATCACTGTCTGTGAGAAAATACAATTCTGTTGAAACTGAAATGCTTTGAGAAATTGCATCAATTTGGCCAAAAGGGGGGAAATTCCAACATTACAAAAATGTCCCATTTCAACATTTTTGGAATGAATCATTTCAACTTTTGATTTCAAATGACTTTTCACATTCATGCAAATACAAGTATTCACATAAAGAACAGCTGCTCCCCTATGTGTGACAACCAAAAACTTGTCGGCACAGATTTTCATGGAAAAATGAGCAGAAAAGGGTGTGAATGTGGTCAACATCAAATTCACCGACATGTTCACAAATGAGCAGTGCCACTATTTTTCCAGTTGTTGTTGCTGGTAAATGCTTCTCTGACAAGACTGATACTTTAAAGAAGGCAAGATGCTGTGTCACTCCAGGATCAGCCTAGGGAAGGAGTTATGACTTAAAGAAGGAAAGAAAGTGATTTGTTGAATCGCAATGCTTTCCCAGGTTCCCCGTTTGCTGTAGGAGTGGAAGTAATTAGTTATTGTTGTCTCCTACTGCCCTGGAGCAGTGCAGATCAGTTCTGTGGTTCAGTTACACACTGGGAGGATGTAGTGAAGGTTCAGTCCATTCTCCATCCATCTGCCCAGAAAGGAGATATCAGCCCACCAGAGCCTGCACCCGCCATCCCACTGAGTGAGGGAGGGTTTTGTGCAGCCTAGGTCAAGACACATTGTTAGCTAATTTTCATACATTAATGATATAATTTACATTTCACTCCCACTGAATGCAAACATTATTAAATACTCTGGAGAATTTGCCCTTTTTACTTTAGATGACTGCATTTGTCCACTGGGGCTATCTGGCTAATGACCCTGGCTTCAGCTCCACAGTATATCTCACAGTAATGAGTTTCATGCTCACTAGACTCGTTATCCAAAGAACTTCCTTAATATTACAAAACTGCAATCTAGAGAGTTAGACAAACATGAAGCGTTTCTCTCCTATTCTTATGAAGTATGCAAACAACTCCTAGATGTTATATTTTGCATACTGTTGCAAAAAAAACAAAACAAAACATGTTTTCTTTACAAAAAAAGGAGAAAGTGATGAGCCAAGTGAGAATGAACCCGTCTGAGTCAAAGGAAATACACTTGCTGAGGAAACTAATTCAAGTTAATGTTCATAGGCAAGAAATATCACACGCAGGTGACTGGGATGACATTTTCACAGTAAAACATGATGCAAATAGAAATAAAATGTGTGTACTGTAGGCAAGTGGTTTGTGTTAATATTAATAAAGAAAATACAAACATGTAATGCAGTCAGAAGGATTTGTGTGGGTTTGCTTTTTCTCTTTTCCAGGAGCCAAGTTACTTGCATAACTGGCTTTGCTGACGCTTTGTTCTTTTACTTGTTCTTTACTGCTTTGGTGTGTTCACCTAGAAGCAGAGCTGATAAAGAGTAATTGGCCAGATTCTAAGCTGGTGTAAATCACCATAATACCATTGACTTCCACTGAGTTACACCAAATCAGCAGGTTTCAGAGGAACAGCCGTGTTAGTCTGTATTCGCAAAAAGAAAAGGAGTACTGGTGGCACCTTAGAGACTAACCAATTTATTTGAGCATGATCTTTCGTGAGCTACAGCTCACTTCATCAGATGTATACTGTGGAAACTGCAGCAGACTTTATATACACACAGAGAATATGAAACAATACCTCCTCCCACCCCACTGTCCTGCTGGTAATAGCTTATCTAAAGTGATCAACAGGTGGGCCATCTGTTGATCACTTTAGATAAGCTATTACCAGCAGGACAGTGGGGTGGGAGGAGGTATTGTTTCATATTCTCTGTGTGTATATAAAGTCTGCTGCAGTTTCCACAGTATACATCTGATGAAGTGAGCTGTAGCTCACGAAAGATCATGCTCAAATAAATTGGTTAGTCTCTAAGGTGCCACCAGTACTCCTTTTCTTTTTACCAAATCAGCAGCAGCTGAGGATCTGACCTGATGTATGCCCATTGGCATTAGATAATGAAGGAAATGGGCTCAAGCCACAGAATTCAGATTTCAATCTGGCTCTCAAATTCCGCAATGTTCGGTGGCATTTGGAGGGGTATTTTGCATCAGCCCCGATGTCTGTTCAGATCTGGCTTCAGATTTTTGCAATCCTCTCCATGGCAGGCATTGTTCTGAGGCAGGGTTTAGGTCTGGATCCTTTGAGTCCAGCCTACATCAGTTCTCTTGAGGAGGGGAGACAAACTGGGGATTTCTGCAGTGGCTGCGTGCAAGGGTATCCAGGCCGGGAGAGTAAGAAGGAGGTCTGAACACCTGGGCTGATGGGACCCTTGACATGCCTAAGCCCGTTCGCTGGCTAACTCGTTCTGCTTCCACCACATTCTTTCATCCTGTCTTACTCACCCTTCACTGTGATCTTGGTCAGGAGAAGCAGCAGGGATTCCTTTGTTTGTTTGTTTGTTTCAAGGAAATGTGTTTTTTTCTCCGCAAGGAAAAGTGCCACATGGCTACACCTGAGAGGACCCGCTAATGGCCTGCTCTGAAGACAACATTCCCATCACCTGTGGAAAATCAGAGCCGGTTGGTTTTATAAGGGTGAAACAAACCAGGGGAAAAAGATCAAATCCATTCTCCGCAGAGCTGGGAGCCAGAGGAAGGGGCTTCAGTGATGCCACCCCTCTAAGAACTACTCCAGCCTCTGAGTTAAAACAGCAGCTACAGCCCCTCTGTGCCCCCTGTGCAAAGTATTAAGGAAACTAGTTATAAGTAACTAAGATCATTTGGCCCCGCTGCATGACCTGCCACCGTCACTGCATTGCACATTGGGCTGGGCTGGAGTTTTCATACTCTTCAGGGGTGCAGTTACTCTGTCCATCAAGCAACACTCCTGCAGGTCTGCAGTGTTGCCGAGGGCCTTGCCTAGGTCCCAAGTGCACAGGTAAATCCTGTTCCATGGCCAGGAGTTTGGAATAGAAAATCCTGAAAAGATTTACCAGCCCCACCATCGAACATTCTGTGGACATACCAAGGACTGTTCCGGCTGGTGTTTCTGGATCCAATTCTTCCCCCCTCACAATAAAATCGGAATTCATACCTGAGTGCGACTGGCAATGCTCCCTCCTGCGTGCTCTCTTTCTTAAAGAAACAATTCATCTGATTTTCTCCACGTATTTAAGCCGTGTGGGTAGATCTCTAAAAGGCTGGGATATATGTTGTTGGCATGAGGAATATGGGGCAGCATGTACATTGTTGCGTTCATAATTTGTATTCATAAATCTATACTCTTTTTAAATTTTCTCTGTGTCTTTTATTTATTTCCTTCCTGCCTATAGTTTTTTGGGTTTTTTTTTTTTTTTGCTGAAAATGAATAGCATGTTCCAGACTCACCAGGCATTAGGAATCTCTGCAGCCTTTTGGTCTCTGACTCTCTCCTGGTGTCGTGCTACCGAGACTATTTTCTTGTTATTACTTCCATTTTCTAAGTTGACTTCAAATGGCATGATCCATATTACACTGTCTAGCACTTCATTCACAGTCTAAATTAGCTGCTATTTCTTTACCCTTCATTACAGTCTGGGTGTAATTTGTTTATGAAGCAAAATGTTTTCTTTGCACTCTGATGGAAGACTCCAATATGCCTTCATTTTGGGTGAGTCATAATCACTATGTCCAGGCTTCACATGTCAGGGCAGATCAATGGCCCACTTAGTTTAGGATCCCAGCTCCTGCCATACTAGGAGCAGGAGAGAATAATGATCCACCTATGCCAATATCCTACCTCTACCTGTAATCAATACTTCAGAAGAAGGTGAAAAATCAAGGGATGAATAAATTTCTAAGCCCAGGGTACAAACCCATTCAAACCACATGGCGTCATATCTCAGAAGCTGGGGACTGAAGTGATCTTAGGACATTCCTGGCCTTGCAAGCTTAGTGTTTGCAGACTAAAGCCCATGATGCTATCATTTCTCCACACTCATACTCTGGTCCTCATTCTGCACAGCACAAGTGTCAAGGAGAGGATTCGCAGCCAGCCAAGATGCGTCCTGCATTCCTGGTGGCCATCCCCAAATCATGAATAGTGGCAGAACACTGTTGCTTTCTCATTCCACCTGGCTCTCCCTGGCCACATGAGCATCACCCTAGAGCGTAGGCTTTACAAGGGAGCATTGCAACTGTTTGACCCTTACATCACACCAAAAACTTCATGCCTCGTGGGCTCAGGATCCTCTGAGCTTTGCAGATGAACTTCAGCCCCAACCCCACTCCTACAACAATCGTGACTGATCAGATGTTCAAGAACTTGTAAATATGTTCCTGTGATGTAGGTTTAATTGGCTCATTTTGGGTGAAACTCAACTCTGTCCAGAGGGCAAGCAAAGGCTGCTACTTATTTTGAGGACTTAAATGGTTGGTTCCCAGGCCTTGAGGTGAATGTCACCCTTTAACATGAGTGATTCTTTAGGTCTAGTTTATAAGAATTCCAAGCGAAAAACTCCCTTTATGTAGCATTTCCCCGGAGCTGATACTGGAAGTAGCAGCATATCTATCACCGGTAATGCTGAGAAGGATTTGCACACTTAAATACCTTAAAGCGCACATGTGATTTGTTAAGTTCCAATTAACTGAATTCCCTTTGCACATCTCATGAGAAATTATGATTTTTTTAAAAACATAAAAATATCCTCCCATGGGAGAACTGCAGGAAGGATTAAAACTGATAAAAACAAAAGTACCCTCCAACTTATAAGGTAATATTTTTATGTGCAACATTTTAATAGACTTTATAAATTGTCTAAAAATACTGTTAAATATTAATCCTATCGCTATTTATAAATGAACACATAATTAATAGAGGCAATTAATGTAGCAAGAATTTGTTAAGGTTTTTTAGAAATATTTGAATAATGATATATAATTATGTTTTGATATGAAAATGTCAAAAATGCAATGAAGTATTTTTATATCAATTTACTTTATTTGAATTCAGAGAAGCATGATGGGAAATATTTGCATCAGGAAACTAGTTACATGGCATAATGCTGTTCATTTTTTGCTCTCTGATGCCTTGCTGCCACAAAGCCTGTACAAGGCAATGGTAGTTGCTATTGCTGTCAGATGTTGATGTTTATTTTGAACAAAAATAATTACAATCCAATTCAGGATTCATTGAACTTAGTGAGCTTTGAACTCAACCCCATCGAGTACTTAGCTTGTATGCTCCTCGGGGCAGGAACTGCTTCTACTATGTGTATATATACAGCACCTAGCACAATGGGGTACCAGTCTCAATTAATAATAATAAATCTGACTCCGTCTCTTTGAGTTCACCCATCCCTACATTATTTGGTACCATCACAAAATGGATCCTGAGACAAGGCCTTCATAGTTTATATCTGTCTATCAGCAATCAGCAAGGCATATCAATACCATATACTTCAGAAATGTCCAGGTAGGCTAGCAAACTCTGCTCTGCCCAGGTTGGATTTATAGTCCATGGATGCCTATGCTTCCAGATGAGCTATCTGTGATTAAAAAGATTCACAAGCCCAACAGCCACCACTTCTCCCTTTGGCACTCACTAAATATAAATTGCATTAAATGTAATTACAAACCAATATCTTTCAGTTAAACAAACAAGTGACTGCACTTGAACCTTCCTGATGAAATTCAGACTTTCAAAGTGCCATGCCTAGGATGGCCTGGGTCATTGCTGTGTGCTAAATTCAGCATAGGCTTGTTGTGCCTGTCAGCTGTGTACTTAGCTGGGAAGAGAGTACATTTTATTACAAGGGTCACTAGGAACCACTGACCAATTGGACCCATCCCCTGTTCTATTTACATCCCAAATACAGCAAATAAAAACATGCCACCATGAAAAAAAAACCCCAACATACTAGATCCAAGTTACTTTCAACGAATATCCTCCTCTAAAGAGAGTTAGTAAATACAGTAGAATCAAGAGGTTAGAGGAATAGGAAGGAAGTGAGGACTCCAAAGCTCTCGAGCTGCTGTGTTTCACGATCCCGGTGTCAGGAGCACACAATTTCAGGTTTGCCCCATGACAGAGATGTGACTCTCATCTAGCATGGTTACCACAACAAAGACCGAACAGTTGTAGAGCGTGTGAGGCAAAATGCATGTGTGTTTATAAACAGGGTCATCGTGTCCGGATGTGACAAAACCACAGCAGCTCTGACTGGCTCCCGGACAGAGGCTTAGTGCACAGAGCTGCTGTCTATGAACCACCAGGTCCCAGTCTGTGTCTCTGCTGTTTTCAAGCTAAACTTACTGCAAGTCCAGCCACTGAGGAGGAGACTGCACTAATTAGTGTGCAGCCAGGCCACCAGCTGTCTGACATGGCTCCTATTTACTGATTGCAAGGACTGCTCCTGCTTCTCTGGACTGAGATAGAAGCCCGAACAGGCTGTAAGTGTGTAACGATGGGGCCCCACTTCCAGACACTGAGTTAGATGAAGAGAACTACCCTAAGGCAAGTTTATTACTGCATTCGAGAAAGACTGCATCTTTTAGATCAGTAGCTCTCAACCTGTGGTCCACAGATCCCTGGGGGACCACAGACTATGTCTAAGGGGTCCATGGAAGGTTGTCATTTCCTTAGGACAATGGTTTTCAGCCTTGGGTCTGCAGATCCCTGGGGGTCCGCAGACTACGTCTAAGACTTCCAAAGGGGTCCACACCTCCATGTGAAAATGTTTAGGGGTCCGCAAATGAAAAAAGGTTGAGAACCATGGTTTTAGACAATGTTTTCTATGCGATTTCTCACTCAGGAATAGCTGCTGAAGTAAATCCTATTTAATAATAATATACAATAATACTTAGCTCTTATAATGCATTTTGCATCCATGGAGCTCAAAGCACTTTACAAAGAAGGTCAGTATAATTACCCCCATTTTACAGATGGGGAAACTGAGGCACAGAGAGGCAAAATTACTTGACCAAGCTTACCCAGCATATCAGTGGCAGAGAGCCCAGAGCTCCCGAATCCCAGTCCAGCACTGCACCCACTAGGCTACACCACCTGTTTCACAAGGTGTGACTGAGAACGAAGAGTAAGAGGTATTTACTCCTAATTATCAAGCCTCTGGTACAACCCAACAGCAACTTGCATTGAGAGGACACTGTTTCAATAATTCTGAAGGAGCTTAGTTATATGCAGCAGGAATGTGAGAGAAGCACAGAGAGCACTTGGTGCTTTGTGTGAATGAATCATTTGAAATTGGTCTCAAAAGGCCCAACTATACTTGATAAGAAAGTAAATCCGAGGCTCATGTACTATCAAGAAGGAGTGAAATAATAAATCATCCAAAACTAAGCTTGCTCACCGAAGGAGAACCTTCTCCTGAATAAAAGAAAAGCTATTCTGATACACAGTCAGCATTGTGGGTCCCAAAATGTATTAACCAGTGCCAAAAGAGCTAACATAGGCCAAATGCGCACTCAGCCCCTGTCAAGTGTGAAGAGACCTTTATCTACACAGCCAGCACTTCATGGCAGAGAAAAACCACCTGTGCTTTGGGCACTTGACACACTGGGATAGATTTCCAAGAGGGATCTGTACCCACAAGTGAGGCCAGATTTTTAAGGGAGCTGCTGGCTGCTGAGCTCTTTTAAAAATCTGCCCACTTCACAGAGACATCTGCATGGGAGCGAAGCTCTCTGGAAAATCAGACCTAGGAGTAATAAGTTAGCATGGAGACAAGACATCTGCAGCCCCCTCAAACTGTGTGAATTCAGTATAAAGCACCACACATATATTTCCTGTTCTCTGGCACTTCAGAGGTTCGCAGGTAGGGAATGGACATAACAGACATATCAGAATTCCTGATCCTGCTTAAGCCTTTAACGGGGAATTCAATATCACATGAAGAAACTGTGCTTTAGAGTCATCCAGTGAAGGGAATTTCAAGCTCTCCACTTAATACTCTGTGCCTAATGCCAGAGTGACCTTGATGGGAGGAAAAGTGAAACTCTCAGCAATGACGTGTTTGCAGAGGTGGGTTGCCTCTCTATTTTGGTTTGAGTTTCAAATCAATCTGAACAAGATGGGTAGGATTTTGGAGGGACATTTCAGCAATTCCATTTTATTTCTCTCTTGGGAAAACAGATCTGGAGGAAACTTTTAACTGCAAAGAACAAAAGCTCCCAGGTACCCAGATGACTAAAACCCCTATGACGACCAGCCTTTTGGGTAGCAGTCTCAG